AAAAACTCGATCAAGTTCATGAAACATGGTTTCCCTCACACAAAGCCATGTTGACTATCCCTAATCAGTCCCTGCCTTTCCAAATACATGTAATTCCTGTCCCTCAGGATTCTGTCCAACAACTTGTCTACCACCAATGTCAGGCTTACTGGTCTATAGTTCTTTGGCTTTTCCTCACCACCTTTCTTAAATAGTGGCACCACGTTAGCTAATCTCCAGTCTTCTTGCCTGTGGCTATTGATGATACAATTATCTCAGCAAGGGACCCAGCAATCACTTCCCTAGCTTCCCACAGTGTTCCAGGATACACCTGATCAGGTCTGAGTGATTTTTTCACCTTTATGTGTTTTAAGATGTCCAGTACCTCCTCCTCTGTAATATGGATATTTTTCAAGATGTTGCTATTTATTTCCCCATGTTCTGTATGTTCCATACCCTTCTCCACAGTAAACACTGATGCAAAATATGCTAGTATCTCCCCCATCTTCTGCGGTTACACACATAGGTGACCTTGCTGATCTTTAAGGGGCCCTATTCTCTTCCTAGTTACACTTTTGCCCTTTATGCATTTTTAGAATCCCTTTGGATTCTCCTTAACCCTATTTACCAAAGCTATCTCATTTACCCTTTTTGCCCTCCTGATTTCCCTCTTAAGTGTATTCCTACTACCTTTATACTCTTCTAGGGAATCACTCGATCCTTGCTGCCTATACCTGATGTATGCTCCCTCTTTATTCTTGACCAAATCTCAATTTCTTAGTCATCCTGCATTCCCTACACCTATCAGTCTTGCCCTTCACCCTACAGGAACATACTGCCTCTGGACTCATATTATCTCATTTTTGAAGGCTCTCCATTTTCCAGCCATCCCTTTACCTGTGAACATCCGCTCCGAATCACCTTTTGAAAGTTCTTGCCTAATACCGTCAAAATTGGCCTTCCTCCAATTTAGAACTTTAACTTTCAGATCCAGTTATCCTTTTCCATCACTGTTTTAATTCTAATAGAATTATGGTCACTGGCCCCAAAGTGATCCCCCACTGATACCTCAGTCATCCACCCTGCCTTAATTCCCAAGAGTAGGCCAAGTTTTGCACCTCCTCTAGTCAGTACATTCACACATTGAATCAGAAAATTTTCCTGTACGCACTTAACAATTTCCTCTCCATCCAAGCCCTTAACATTATGGCAATCCCAGTCTATGTTTGGAAAGTTTAAAATCCCCTACAATAACCAACATATTATTCTTACAGGCTGTTAATGCGGCAATTGTCAAATTGGAGCTAATCTGCATCTTGCCAGTTTGTGGCCTCCAATGTGTGTTTGTAAAGCCTGACTGACCACTGCCCAGCTCCATTCTTCTCCCATTTTCTCTCTCTATTGGTCTTAGACTTGCCTCCCTGATAAAAGGCCATTGTGCATGCTTCTGTCAATGGTCTCATGGTAACATCGCTGGACTGTTAATCCGGAGATCTAGATAACATTCTGGGGACCTGTGTTTGAATCCCACCATGGCAGGTGGTGAAATGTGATTTCAATGTATCTGTAAGTAAAGAATCTAATAATGACCGTAAATCTATTGCCAATTGTTGGGAAAAACCCATCTGGATCACAAATGCCCTTTGTTGAAGGAAACTGCCTACCTTCCTTGTGACTCCAGACCCACAACATTGTGGTTGACTCTTAACTGCCCTCTGGGCAATAAATGCTGCCTGGCCAGTGATGCCCTCATCCCATGAATGAATAAAGAAAAATAATCTGCTGACAGTGCACCTGCACAATGTTTCCCACCACTGCCTCAACATCCTCTGGTGAAACAGGACAATTTCTGGACTTCAGGGAATTCTGGGTAGTACCCCAACCAATAATTGTATCTACACTTGATTAAAAAAAAATCTTATTATGTGTCAAAGTAAACATATGGAACTAGGAAGTCAATTGATACAGTGGCCGAATATGCACTGAGTATTACGGCTTGGTCTAGTGGCTCTTTTAATGAGAGATGGGATAGTTTGAAGGAGGATGATTTTGAACATCTGCAACTCAATCACACAAATTATTAAAGGCCTCCACACCAACACTTGTTACTAAAATTAGCACTATTTTATTGTCTGGTAAGTGTTTATCTAACCAATCTTCAAGAGTCAACTTTCAAACTTGACATGAGGACTAGAAATCTCAAATGTACAACCAGTCGTGAACAATCACAGAAGTGCAGGAAAGCAATGGAAGAAAACAAAAGGACAGAAATTGGAGCCAAGGTATTGGAGATGAACTAATTAATAGGGTGTGGTACAGTGAAAATGTGGGTGCTATTAGGCAGGTTCTTCTGCCATCAGTTTATACTGATACTTCAGAGGTGGTATTGAACAAGTGGTATCATAGGAGCAGAAAGACTGACGTTTCGGGCCAAGACGCTTCATCAGAAATGGGGGAGGGGAAGGGGGTTCTGAAATAAATAGGGAGAGAGGGGGAGGCGGATAGAAGTTGGATAGAGGAGAAGATAGGTGGAGAGGAAACAGACAGGTCGAAGAGGCGGGGATGGAGCCAGTAAAGGTGAGTGTAGGTGGGGAGTTAGGGAGGGGATAGGTCAGTCCAGGGAGGACGGACAGGTCAAGGGGGCGGGATGAGGTTAGTAGGTAGGAGATGGGGGTGCGGCTTGAGGTGGGACGAGGGGATAGGTGGGAGGAAGAACAGGTTAGGGAGGTGGGGACGAGCTGGACTGGTTTTGGGATGCGGTAGGGGTAGGGGAGATTTTGAAGCTTGTGAAATCCACATTGATACCATTGGGCTGCAGGGTTCCCAAGCAGAATATGAGTTGCTGTTCCTGCAACCTTCAGGTGGCATCATTGTGGCACTGCAGGAGGCCCAGGATGGACGGGGGGGGGGGG